ACTCGCCCTACTCGTGCAATTGTGTGTGCTCCCACTGTCTGCTTTTGGTATTACTGCAAAATCATTACTGTTATCACTGTTATTAGTACTGTTAATGCTCTTATTGCTGTTGTTTTTACCGAGCATCTGTCACTGTCACATCCACCTCCAGGGCGCAGGTTCGCGCAGGATCTCGTGGAATGTCCCGGAAAATCCTTCCGAGCTTTTGGTGGACTCATGCTTAGAGGGTGGTCAAGAGTAAGTGCCCGTATACTCTGGATATGAAAGGATGTAACGAGACAAGGCTGTTCCAAGCAGGATTGTAAAGATTTTGTTCAGATCTTGCATGTTGCAACTTGTTCTGAGATCATACAGGCTCTGTGATGGCTTGAGGCAAAGCAGAGCTGCACAAACTCTCATGACCTAAGCAGTGAATCTACGTTGTCAAGCCGGCGGAGCTACTCAAAGGCTTTGCAGACGACATGTGAGACACGGGTTCCGCATGCGTGTCGGCAATGCCAAGGTCATGCTAGCACGAGGTTTCATGTTAAGACATCTTAAGCACCAGACAGCTGAGAATTGATGTTCCCAAGTCACGGAACATTCAGCTGAGGGGCACTGTCGTGGCACATCCCGGCGCTGAACATCCGAACTCTTGCGAGTAGTCTTAGAAGCGAGGGGCTTGGCTCTTTCAGTGGCTTAGGGCTTGACCTGTTCTGAAGGGAAGGCTCCGATTTCCCAAGCTTGACCATGTGCAATCTTAAAACTGGTTCTTGATGCTCATATCAGCATAAATTTCATTCCGGCATTTATCAAGGGCTTCGCCTGCAACTTAGAATGGTCTGCATGAGTCTAACTTCCCCACACTCACAACGAATGTGTTTATATCGTGCATGCAATGGGATTCGGATTATGATAGCGAACAGGAGCCAGATGTTCTGAGCGCCTTCTATGATTTCAACGAATCGTTGGGACAACTGTCACAGTAATGAGGAGGTCAACATTGGCCCCTGTTCTGCATAACGGCAGGACTCTGCTGGGCTTAGCGACCCTCGTTTGCCAGACCGAAGCTGGTAGTACTCGAAACCGCGCAGGGGCTCTTCAGATAAAACCCCGAATGTGTGAAACTGTTAAACCCCAATAGATCTTAACTTCATGGATTTCGAATGCAAGGAAGGGCAGGGCCAACATGACACCCGCTCGGTTCACTGAGTTGAACATGCACCAGGCATCATCACAATGGGCTGCCGAGCCAAATGCTTCCAGGATTGCATTCTAGCATAAATCATAGCAGAAATCATGGCAGTAACAGTACAAGTCACAATAGAAAGAGTCGTGACATCCATAGCAATAATGACACCACTGCTAGAAAGAATAATACTGTTATCCGGAACATTAAAAGGAGAGGTATTAGTTACGACAAAGAAATAGTGGTGATGTTATAATGATAACAGTATATGACAATCGATATGACAATGTAACACTAGTAATACTAATGATTGCAGTTCCTTTAGCCAAGGCACAAATCACCTCAGGACCCAGCGCTTCTGACGAGTAGAAGGTCGTCGTGCCACGACCTACCAAGATCACCCCCACCCCCAAACTATACCCACCAATAAAGTACGATTACGTAGGTACCTGGGGGAATATAAGCTATTAGGTGGTAGTGCAATTTGTGGAGTTGGCTGGGGGGCGCACAGCCGCAGCAGCAGCCGCGGCAGCAGCAGAGAGGAAGCTGGTGGTGATAGTGCTACTTCTAGGAAGCCGCATAGGAGCAAGAAAAAAGAAAGACATACAGGAATCACCATTCTGGCTAGGATGTGTAATATCAGGCACGAGGAGTGGAGAACCCAATCAAGCAGTAGCGAACTTTCCGAAACCAGGGCCCCCGCGAACTATCCCTAGATGCTTAGGAGGCTGCAAGGATGCTCTCGAGAAATTGCCTTGAGGCTTCTGAAGAATGCTTTAGGAATCTTCCAGTAGCTTCCCAGGGGCATCAAGATGTCTGCCGGTGCTGACGCAAATGTAAGCTGGCAAGACGCTGAATTCAAGACTCCTGCTAAGGCTGTATATATCCCCAACTTTCATTTCATTTTCCATGCCCTTTTTTATTGGATTCTCCGTTACTGGGATATTATCCCTATACATCCCTAAATAACCCTCTAAGCCCTACATACACCCTGGAGGATCTGCGGGAGTCCTGAGTTTTTTCTGGGCACTCCAAGACCCCAGCCGAGATCCCTCATCCCTGGACTCTCCGTACCAAGAAAGATTCTGCTTGATATGCTGATGGTTATGGTAAAAAAAAAAAAAAGCATGCCCTTCCGCCTTCCATGTCGCCCTTGCCAACTGCAACCAGCAGATACCTGGCAGACTCTCAAACCAAACTCGACATGTAGTGGGCTGGAACGCAGAGATCAGTGTAAAAGCCCCCGTCCAACTGGCAAAGTCCCCGCACCTCGGCCCAACATACTACACAACAAGCCTTATCACAAGCTATCCTGAACCAAACGGATATCTTTGAAGCATACAGTCGGGTAATCCCTAATGCAGTCTAGGGCACCAGTTCTCTTGCACAGGCGAAGCTGTCAAGTCGGCTCCGCTGTCCCAGGTGGCCTCCGCTCAAAAACTCCGGGGAAGAGTGGCAGAAAACGCAAAACTTCTCCCTGGACAAGCCCCTGCACCATGCCCTCGAGGTTCATGATCCACACCGCGAGGCGTATGGAATGTTCATATGGCACCCAGGTCATGGCACTACAATTTAGGTCTATGGGCTGGGATGCTGGTAGAACCGAAAATTGGAAGGCCAGGCATATCGTTGCACTGGAAGCACTGCTCTCTCTTGTCCTTGACTCATCCAAATGGCTTGGAGGACTCAGCATCTGAGAGCAAGAGGATTCGTGAGGATCAGAATACGAGCGAAATGAATTGCACACTGCCTGGGATTTCTGGAAAGATTCATTGCAACTCGCAGCAATTGTGTAGCGACAAGGCCTCACTGTCGCAGGCTCTCATACCAATTGCCCACCTGAAGGCTGCAACAACAAGGGATGTGCGATGAGGACGATAACGCCGAATACCAACCGATACCAGGACTAAGAAAGACAGAAATCCCAAGGATCTAAAAAATCCATCCCAAAACTTGACCGAGCCACTCGCGCTTGTGATTGATTGGCGTGCCCAGCTCTTCATCCACTTCTTCGGTCATGTTGATGGCCTTGGCAGGGCGGAACAAGCACTTGGCCCTGCCCCTGTTCCTCCCCGCCCCCAGGTCTGTATCTGGATCAGAAGAGTGCCCCAATCAACAACGCGTCTTCGGAACCTCCAAGCAAGCCAAGGGGCACAGCTGCATGTGCACTCTGCATACTCCATTGGGGTCTCGTTCACGCCGTATGTCATGGTCGTGGTCGTCGTCTCCGACCTAGAGAAAAGCGATTCAAGTCTCGTCTGGGCAGTCCATTAGGCGGCTGATGAAGGACTGGCAGCTTTTAGGCTGTGATCCTCAGGGTTGATTCAATGTGTTGGTGGGAGGAACTGCTGTGGACTCTCCAAGGTCTCAGACTTCCAATGAATACAAGATTTGACTCGATTGACGGGCTCTATCCTAGCATCGAACCTGGTAGCACCATCCATGGCCTTACAGTTGAAGAAAACCAGGTACCACGGTTCGGCTCACGGGATTGTTTAGAGTTCCCATGCTACTTGGCAGTGATAAGATCGCATGCTCAGCGGAGTTGCGTCGGCGGCAGCGAGCAACACCGAGCCACATCGGTGCCGTTGCCTGGCAAGGGGCACTGCTCTTGCGTAGTGCTAGTAAAGCCACAAGTAACCCCTGCAAAGAACTTGCGTAACCAGCTGTGTACAAGAACGTGAACTCCAACTGCGTGAGCGGAAGACCTGAAACTGACAACTGCAAAGCTTGGAATCCTATTCACCAACCATAACCAACTCCTCAAAACATGAATGTCAACTCAGAAATAGAGCATGCCAGTTTTTGCATCACGCTCCATCTGAGCAAGAAAGGCGCGCCAGTATACAAAAATCGGGATTCCTCACCTAGGTATACGATTGATGTGCTAGGTGCGTCTTAAATATACATCTCTCTCTCTCTCTCGCTCTTGTATTTTTCGTCCCTAAGGTTGAATCGTAGCTTTTGCTGCTTGCTGCCCCGGGCACAGAGGAAATCGCCGGTGCAGAAAGGTGGCCGGCCGTCTAGCTCCAGGCGCTGCGACACCTTGGGTGCAGGAGGTGATCGTAGGAGCAGAATAGAAAGGAGTGGAAGAAGTCCTAACGGGTAAAGGGTTTTAGGGTTTAGGGATAGGAGTGGAGGAAGTACTAGCAGATAATATTAATATTAATAATCGTGATAAGAATACTAATCGCTTCCCCCGAGTAATAAACGACGCCCCCCACCCCCACTTACAGGACACCTTGCCCCACTAATCTATGGAACCATTTCGCCAACTCGGCGCCCAAATATCAAGCCCAAAATTCCCGAAACCATATTCCCCAAATCCTATTCCCAAAATCTTAGCCCAAAATTCCGTAAAACCATATTCCCGAAATCCTATTCCCAAAATCTCAACCCAAAACCCGAAAAACCACCCTCCCCCATAAATCCCCGTTATTCCTTAGCCCAAAATATCCCGCAAAATCCTAAACCCAATCCCTTTAATATGCTTACCCATAAGCCCAAAAGCCACGAATAACAATAAGCCTAAGTGGGGCGAGGTGTCTCTAATGAAAACGTAGTGATGCCTGGCCCAAGGAGACCCCTTATGTTGAATGAAGAAACCCCATAACTTGACTCAAGAAGCCCCGTATCTTGACTCAAGAAGCCCCTTATCTTGAACCAAGAAGCCCCCTACCTTCACTCAAGAGACCCCCTATCTTTACCAAGGGAAAACCCACCACGAAACCTACAAAGATACACAACCCCAACCACCAAGACACCAGTTCAAACCTTTTTCAATGATGTGGCTTCGTCCATAAGCAAAGCAACAAGTGTCTTCAACACCGTCGCTTCTTCTTGGGTGGCTCTGGGGAACACTGAACGGGCAACTTTGAAAGCGCAACGCTATCACGACACGCTCTCATCAGCAAGTCCTGCTGTGCATCTTCATCTGGGGCGCTCCTGTCCTCCTCCATGCTTTCCTCATCGCTGAAGTCATCGCCCGTGAAGTGCTTGCCATTCTTCAAGCCCTCGAAGTCTTCGTGCCCCAACAACCGCAGAGCACGTGCTTCCAGACCACGAACGGTGTAGAACGGCAAGTCGTCTGCGAAGTGGTACATGATGCGAAGGCTTTTTCCAGCTTTGATAGCCGATTTGGTCTTCCCAGCTGTGGCTTTGCCTTTCCCTTTTGCATACTCCTCTTTGTGTTTGTTGACCTCCTTCCGCAGCGACTCTCGGATGACCTCTTTGACATCGGACAGCTCCCGAATAGCCGACTTGACCGTATCCCGACTTGACCGTATCCTTCTGCTGCTTCGGGAAGAAACTGCAAACGTTGAAAAACTGTGTCGGAGCTTTCTGCTCAACCAGCACACACAGCCCTCCGCCGAACTTCACGGTGAAGAAGCCACCTTCTCTTAAAGTGATGTCCTCCACCGCGGTCTACCCAGCTGGCTTGTTCCATACTTTTGGTACAGGACGAGGAACTTACAGGAACTTTTCTCTTTCGCTTTCGCATGGCACTGTTGCAGGTCGGGCAAGAAGGCTAACTTAATCCCTGATTCCGCGTCCATGGCTTTGTGGGGCGCCTGAGTCAGGCCAATCGCATTCTGTTTGGTGCCGTGATGTTTGCGCCAAAACTGCTTGTTGGCACCAAACGCCTTCACCATCTTCGGAATTCAGCTGTCCTTCTCCTTGACGGGATGAGGTGACAGGCTTGCAGATCGAAGGCTGGAGCGCCAGGCTGAAATACGGGATTTGCCTTCACTTCCGCGCTCACTTTACTCGAAAATTGTGACTGCGCAGCAGCGGGACGCTTTTTGGGAGCCATGGCGCAAAACCAACGGAACAACACTGTCACTGCTCGTGTCATGTTCGTCTATGCGTCTATGGGCATGTACACTATGTTTGCCGGTTTGTGTGGTTGTTCTGCTGTGCAACGTCGAGCAGGAACAGAATGACAAAGCTATACGTGGAGCAACAGCTAACTGCAATTGCAAAGCATCTGGCACGAAATCACAACACACACATGCCTACAAATGACGTTACAACTTCAGCATTCATGGCGCAAATAACGACAACCATGAATGCAATTATGTTTTTGTCCCAATACAATTTTAATATCATCAATGGTATAGGAATTTTCACTCCCACATAAACATTCAATGAATTAAAAAGTTTGATATTATCTGTTTTAGAATACATAATATCAAACTGGGTCAGATGTAGATGATTTCATTTGTTGCATGAGCAGGTCGTGTTTTTTGCGATTTTCTGTGCGTTGCCATGTTTCGTAGTGACCGTACCAGTGCTGAATCCCTTTAGGTGGGATCACTTGTTACTGCGCGCCTTATAACATGGATCAGAACAGTGGTTCCAATATCTTGTATACTTGAATCGCCAAGGTGCCAGAAGACAAGCTTCTGATTCGCCTCACAGCTGGCTGTGCGAGGTGAGGGGCTGCTGGCAACAAGGGTTCAAAGAACAGAGACAAAGCTAAAAGACACTATGACAACAGATGCTAGGTGATCTTTGGGATGATTGGCGCGACCCTTTCAGGCCTACCGCGAGTATCAATGCATAGTCTTGAGTTTTGAAGGCACGGGCCCCGCAGAATTAAAGCGGAGAAGCCGCCATGAATCTGAAAATAACTATCCCTCTCGTCCGATGTGTATTGTACCGCGTCGAATAATTGCAAGGCCACCATGCCAGTGACTAGTAGTCATTGTTGCTACTAGCCAGAACAGGAGGGTGAAGGGTGCACAGTTCTAAAATGGCCGATAACAGTCAAGCCAGGTTGTGCCACTTGCCCCACTGTTGCAATGTTCATCATCATCCTTTTAATACGCTTGCCACGAACCTTCAAAGCTATACCGACCGTAGGAGTGCAAAGTTGGAAGCTGCTGGCTGCATGTGTAAAGCCTGCCGTCCTGACGAACATTGCCAGGTTTCCAGGAACTTCTGTTCCGCCCTCAACCTTTGAACTCCTACCCTTCGCAGCGAAGCTCAAAGCCTCTTATGTTGGTCCTGCTGCAGCCGCAGTAGAAACTAGTAGCAAGGTGTGGCAAGCACTTACCACCTATCATTTCTTGCTTTTAGTAGAAGTAGCAGCAAACCCTAGCCTAACCTTGTATTCCATTGTCAGAAATGAAATGTACTCACACCAGGAACTCGAACACAAAAGCTGGCCTGACATTCCCATGGCATCAAACAAACGCACCTGGCGGGATCTTGACGGAGGCTTGGGGCTTGACAGGCCTGGTAGATGCAACTGTCACAGAGCGTAATTATATGTATGTACCCGTGTCTGCTGATGTGATTTGATGTCAACGTGATATGGCAATTTTCTGTACGCACAAGTACAGCTGCTGCGCTCCTTCATACAGACTACTTCGAGTGATTGCAGGAATGAGCTTTCGCCTTGATTGAAACAAGGGCAATAATCATTAATCCGAGAACAGTTGATCACGTCTATCAGCTTGCTGCCCGTCCTGCCCAGCATCAGACGCATTTGCAGCCTGCCAAGGGCGGCAGCAAGACTTGCCTCTTATCAGTGGGGATATGTATCCTGTGCGGGGATGTGCCAACCCTAAACGCTTCTCTGGTGGCGGTGGCGGGTGGGGGCGGCGGTGGCAGTGGCTGTGGCGGAGGCGGCGGAGGCGGCGGCGGCTGCGGCGGTGACGGTGGCTGGAGCGGCGGGGGCATCAGGGGATATACGCAGAAGCAAGCCACCCGAGAGGAATCTCGGTTGCCGCGCCTTGAAAAAGAACATAGGCCTGTCTGTTACAACCCTTTGCGCGAGGCATAAGGCCTGAATCAGTCAGAACTTGAGTCGCAATGCCTTTAGCCACACTTGATACTACCAGATATGGAGAGAACACTCGCCCCAAAGTGTGTTCCAGAATCGCCTCAAAGTGTTCCACCTTCACCCACGCGGCCAGAGTGTATTCCGCACCCACTAGCCTGTGCGCGTTCTTCATGATTGGGAAGTTCAGCTGAATCTTGCTAATTATCAGTGGTAAAAATATATGGTACAATATCCATCCGCTCTATGTTAGCTCTGCGGATCACATGGCTCATCCCCACCCATGCAGTCAGCTTGGATTGCATGATGACTTCCCTTACTTCACCCCGAGCCTTATTCTTGCACGTTTCAGCATCGAGCTTTTCAGTGTTTGGCTACAGTTCCATAGAGCTCAGCGTCGTGGAAAGAGGCTTGGTCAATTAAACTGTGCATCTTTCAACTGATTAGGTCTCATTGACAAACACCTGCATTTGACGGTATCTTTTCTTCCTTATGGTTCGGGAGGCTTAAAGCCAGTGCAGGATGTAGGTCTGTTGGCACGTTTTCTAGGTTCATGAGATACGACAATGAGTTAGAGCCTACATGCACCAGGAAAGGAGCACCTGCCCAAAGCAGATACCCCTATGTTGGCATTGAAGAAAAGAAAGATGTCGTTGATGCATTGCCATACACAGAATGCTCACCAAATCCTACACAATCACAAGGTGGGGGTGGGTTGCGGGTGTGACACGAATTCAATGCCTCTCTTGGCTTATCGCTGCAAGGTTCTGGGGCCTTCAAAATTGACCCCTGCTCAACAGAAAACAAAAGGAGCATTTCAGGCACTTCCCCCACTTCCACCTGAATCCTCAAACCAAAATCTAAATACTGGGCCCTTAAAACGTCGTGCCCTAACCTCAAAGAAATGCGGGCCCCGCCCGCGCCTCTTTGGATTCAGCTCGAAGCGTCCTCCATCGCTCAATTGCCAGCGGGGAAGACCGTCGTCAGAAGTCCATTCCACATCGCCTGGCCGGTTGAGGTTTTGCAGCTTCGGCTGCAGGGCAAACAATGATCATGACGATGCTGCAGAAGACCTTGATAACTTGATTAATGCAACGAGCTGCAAGTTTCAAAGCTTAAGACTCAGGATTTGACTTACCGGCTTAATGTTTACATGCGGTTTAGTTAGCACTGAGGGGTTGTGGGGTCACGGCTAGGTCTCAACGTGAGAGTGCAATTTCTCACATCCTTACGTAGTTGACAGCATCCCGTTTCTCGCGCGGCCCGTGCTCAGCTAGGGGATTGGGGGTAGAGCTTGGGAAGGATGTAGTATAGTCAACCAGGTAAATACAGAAATCATGAGGACATTACTTTTAGCGAGGCATGTGCAACTTAACAAATGCAAAGTTGGTTCAGCATCGGACAGTATGGGGAGAACTCCCCAGACGAGGGGATACTGAGTTTCGGATTGCTACTTCAATCTGGAGGCTTGGCTTGCATGCATGCATGCATGCATGCATGGATGGATGGATGGATGGATGGATGTATGTATGTAGGTAGTATAGCTCTTCACTCTGTTGAGCGTAGGAAATGACGTTTCGTCTCAGGTGGTTTGATTGCTCTGGGTGTCCAAATCAAGCCGCGCATGGCAAGCACGACACATGTTGGACCGGAATGGGCACATTCAACGGACCTGCACGGGAAATGCTGCTAGCTAAGCATCAACTGAATTTGAGCCACTTTTGGAGGTGGTAAGCCAAAGGAAATGTACACTGCGAACTAGGCTAAGGCTGAGGAAAAAAGGTGGTATAAGTTCTTAAACAGCTGGACTGCCGCAGCCTGACATGGGTCAAACAGTCGGGGGTGCAACCCATTCCAGAGGTCACCAGACCCGGGTTAGCACAGTATAAAAGGAGTGGGATGCAAGTTCTGTTCTTTCAAGGTTGAGTAGCGCTTCAGGAAAAACATGCAAATTCGGTAATTCGCGGCTCCATTCATGGCCGGACCTCCATAACAAAGCCCCTTGAAACCTCTTAGTTGTTGAAACCAGAACCCTAAACCCTAACCCCAAAATACCATCATGGCCGGCCTACTTCCACCGCCCCACTTGTCACGTTCTGTGCTGCTTCGAAAGTGAGGGCAGCCGAGCTGGTCGGCGCTTCCTGAGACAAGTTTGAAGAATTCAGCATACACCGTCTTCAAAAGTTCTGCATATATGGAAAATATATATGGAAAAAATATATATATATGTATACACACATATGGATATCAATACAAGTACATACATATACATGAAGGTATTTACGTAAACAACCGTTTTTGTAGATATAGGTCTGTAAAGGGTTTCCAACGCTAAAGTCCCACTGTGTCGCCGAACTACCTGAATGCATCGTTGTTCCATGTCTGACCAGATGCGAAGAACAATCTTCAAAGACTATCTGTATGCGTGCATCTTGCCAGCCGTGTTCAAGATCAACGAACGGGTGAATCGGTTCCAAGCATGGTGTGCTCAATCCCACGCAGAATTTACCAGCATGTTGCGTCTGCTTGGAGGTCCGTAGGATGTAGTTAATGCGCTTTCTAGCAATCATTGCCCTGAGGATCTGCTGCTGGGCATTTGCCTAATCCCACGAATCTTTGGGCGGAGTCAAGCTGCGGGGTGCACTTCCCATTCGCAGTATCCAGTGCTGCGCACTTCCTGCCAGGACATGCTAAGAAACATGCCAGTCTGCTGTCCTAGATTGCTCCATCAACTTGTTCAACCGTGGCTGACACTGCAAGCCACCGAGCCCTACCCCTAGCAATTGAGCCATGCATTCCTTCTTGTATAGGGCATATATTGGGGTTATATAGGAATAATGGAAAAGAAAGTGGAAACTACTATAA